TACTAGATGGGGTGGCTGATTCTGACTGGCAAAATGCTACATGGAGAAATATACCTTTTATACTTAGGAGGAACATAAAGATGTCTTTAAGCATGCATGTAAATTTGTAACAAATAAGTCACTGTGGCTTGAAACGGGAAGCTGGAGAGGGCAGCCGTAAATATGTGATCTCTTTGGCAGAAAGCTCCAGCACAGCAAACTGTCACATCCCCCTGTCACATCGTGCTGGGGGACAGGAGCTGCCCTGCTCTGGGGTGGGGAGCCCATCTCCCAGCTTCCCTGCTGCCTCCACGCTGAGCTCCCTCCTCACCAGGGCCTGGCCACGAGGAGTCTGGGAGCTTCCCACACCTCGGGCATGGCCCCTGCTCCTGGTTTGTTTGAAGGGGGAAAGAATTTCATTAGCAAGGAAAGCCTGAAAAGCCAACTTAGTGCAAACAAAAGCCTTAGTCCCAAGAAGCAGCACTCACCTCTGGGTGCTGTCTGACCCATGGCTCAGCCCTGGCTGGTCTGGGCTGCTCTGGCGGAATCATCCCCACCTGGCTGGGGATGGATGTAAAGGAGAGGGAATCTGGAACACACAAGTTATTACTTCAAATCCCCCAGGTCATGCTTGTCTCAGCCACCCCAGCCCCTTCCTGCTGCCTGCTGGCTGGCACAGGTGCCAGGGGCTGTGGCAGCTCCCAGCACCACTCCTGCCTGGCTCCCAGCTATGAACAGGGCGGGCTGTGGTGACTTTCCTTTGAGGTGACACTCAAGGCACCTCATTTAGTTCCCAGACTTCAGCCTAGAAGTCACCAGCTGCCTCTGACCATGGAGTCCAAGCACCTAAAAGTTCAATTAGGTGTGAACCAAGGAAAACCCATAAACATATAATTGATTGGGAGAGTGAGTCCTGACCCCAGGTAATTGCTCTCTTCTGGAGTAGCCTGCAGCAGCCCCTTGGCCTGGCTCATATGCCAGGAGGGAACTGGTTAGGTTTGTGAGTGATATAAGGAGCCTGGTCTCTGGGTGCTGGAATTGAATTAGACATCAACAAGACAGATTTTATTAGATTTATTAGATGGCTGGTAGAGAGAAGGCTAGAAACCAGAGGAAGAGAAGTGTCTTCCTGGTGACCTCAGGGCTGCCATTATTTTTCTTGCACTGTGTCAGATGGGTGCAGTGTCATCTCCCAGGTGATGGCAGAGCAGCAGATGCCAGCACTGCCCCATCCCAGAGGCTGAGGCATGGGCAGGATGAGGAGGTGACCTCGAGCTTAGTGCCAGAGCGCCTGTCCCAGAAGGAGCTGGCACTGGCATGGCTCATGATGGAGAACACATGCAGAGCAGGACGCACGGAGGCCTATCTCCAGCCTGTGGCACCACCAGCCCCAGCTGTGGTTTCAAACAGGTTCACAGCTGTCTGCTGGGGGTGCAGCACCAGGAGTTCTCAAGCTGCTAAGGCTGCCTGACAACCGGCATCGAGCTGCTCTCATGATAATTAACACTGGACCAGCCTTGCCAGAATAAATTCAGCAGTTGTATGGCAAGGCAAAGGTCCCTTGATTTTACAAGCTACCCATCACTTCTGTCTCGTGTGCTGTTCCTGCATTACAAAGGTTTGAAGTGAGCTTTCCACTCAGGAAAATGGCATGATGTTAATGGTGGAGCTTTTACTGGGACACACCCTGCTTCTGCTCAGGAGTCACTGCCCTGGGGAGCAAAAGAAGCTGAGATGCCTCCTCATCTCTGGGGCAGCTGGCTCAGCTGTCAGTATGACAGGCTGAGCACAGCATGCCTGCTCCCAGGGCAGATGGCTGCCTTAAACCTGGGGAGCAGCAGAGTGCCACATGTCACCAGAGGACGAGACCTGTTGTCACAGGAGAGGCTCTGCCTCAGGAAGGTCTCTGAGGGGCAGACTGGGAAATAACCCTGTGGGAACCAGGCAGGCATCACCAGCAGTTCCACCTCAGGGTGGCCTGGGAGGACAGAGAGCAGCAAAATCACCCCAGGGACTATCTGGCTGCCCCATATCTGCTGCTCATGGCAGTGCTGAGTCCCTCGCAGTGACATGTCCCACAGCCCAGGTGTGTGGCTGGCCAGAGGATGGCTGTGCCAGGCTCAGTGGGAGCCAGCAGACACAATCTCCTTTTATCACAGCTTCTGGGCTCTGCTTCTCCATTCCACCAGAACAGCCAACAGCTGCCTCCTGTTAATTAAGAGAAGAACAATCACTCTTAATCAAAGGCCAGACTGGTGGCAGCAGCAGCAGCAGCAGCCTGCTGAGCTCATCCCACCTCCACTCACCCTGTGCTGGGGGCAGAGGGAATAACAGGGGCAGAGTTGTTTCTGTGCCACCACTGCCTGGCAGCAGGGACAAGCTGGACGCCACTCCCAGCGAGGGCAGAGATGCCACTTGCTTTGTGTGGCAGCTGATTGGCCTCCAGAGGCACGTCCCCAGCTCTGTGGTGCTGAAGCCACCTCCCCTCCTCCAGCACCCAGGCCCTCTGCTTGCCTGGGGCCTCGAGGGGAATAAGAGTTCTTGTGAGAGCAGGACACTACAGCCATTCTTGCTGCCTGCCACCCTAGCACAGGTGCTGGAGCAGCACCTCCCCACAGCTATTTGAGTGCAGAAAGTCCTCAGTGCCTTCACCATCAAGTAGGGCAGAGGTCTCCAGGATTGTGGTTTGGGAGTCAGAGCTCCTTGTCCTCCCAGCTCTCCCCTTTGCAGCTTGCCCTGCTTTCCTTGCATCAGGCACTTTCACCCACAGCCTTTCCTTGTGTGGGAGAGGGAGAGGAGAGGACCCTCTCCTGCTGCCTCAAGTCTGACAGCCAGCGTGGCCCAGGCCAGAGGAACCAGCAGGTGACTCTGCTCAGGTCCCTACCGGAGCCTGCAAGCCAGCCCTGATCCTTCCAGCCCATAGTGCAGAGTCATTCCTCTCACACAGGCAGGAGGTGCCAGCAGATCTCAGCTGCATCTTCCCTGGTAGATCTCCAGAGTCCTGCCCCAGAGCTTCCAGCATCTCCTTCCCCACAAGGGTTTTTTTAACACCAGGAAAGTCCCAACACTCTCCTATTTATAGCTTCACACTCCCGTTTTCATTTTATTTTAATTAGCTGATTCCCTCTCCCACCTGCTCTCAGGCACCTAGTGGATTGGGTGAGGATGCTGGGAGCAGCACTCAGGCAAGTTTGTACTCTCTGCCAGCACCCAGGAGAGCGAGGACAAGGATGAGCAAGAGCAGGAAGCTTTCCATCCTCCATCTGTAGGGATTTCCAGCTGGCAGTGGGGGAAAGCATCTGTGTGAGGACTCTGCTCTGGCTCCATGATTTCCTTTCCCCCAGCACTGACAGTGTGAGGTTATTTGAGGACATGGTTGTGAGTCACACACAAAAGTACATCCTCAGGCTACTGAAATCGGATCCAAGCTTTGTGCTCCTGGTGTTTGCATTGATGCCTGCTGATGGCACGGGAAAAATCCAAGCTATGGTCTTTGTGTGTAGGTGAAACTTGTTGACCACTTCTCTCTCCAGGAGGGCACCAGCAGAGGTCAGAGCTGGTGGTGTGCTGCTGGATTTTAGTGAGGTGATTTATTCAACTGTGAGTTGCAGGTGCACTCTCAGCCCTGCCGTGCCTGGGGTAGGAAGTACTTTTGTTCCCAGCCCAAGGTTGGCACAGGTCCTTCAGAGGAAAGCCAAACAGTTTCCAAGGCAGGGACAGGATGATAAGTGTGTTGGTTATAGCTGCAGACAGCTCCCTTCGGGGTGAGCTGGGAGCATGCTGGAGGAAACTTGTAAAATCCAACAGCATCTCCAAAAAAGGGGGAGGGGAAGCCTGGAAAACAAAAAAAATCGAAACCAACAAACCAAAAAGAGAGCTTAGTTGGGTCAAATTCCCCCAGCAGGGGCAAGTCCTGCGTTTGCAGGAGCACTGGCACTGGGAGGGCAGCGGTTCAGGGAAAATGCTGATGATTTGGCAGAGGAGCAGCCAGCCCACAACTCCCGAGGCAGCAGAGAGGGAAATGCCCCAGGACCAGTGGGCAAAGCTCCACTGAAGAGTGATAAAGAGTGCAAGGAGGCAGCAGCAGGGACAGGAGGGTGGGGATAGCTCTGTGAGCAGAACCTGCACTCCTCTGAACTCCATGTCATCTCTCACTGTGGCAAACATACATGCAGACAGATGTTAGCCAAATGTGCCCTTTTTGGCAAGAAACCAATGAACCGTGGGGGATTTAGATGCTTTTATATCTGGGGTTTGGTCCAGATTAGATCAAAATCTTGAAAATGCACCCAACTTGGAAATGCCAAGAAATTCCTCTGCAGAAGCACTTTGCTGGGACAAATGGTAAATTGTTTTGGTAGAGTCAAAATGTAGTATTATAATTTCACAATTTAGGTACAAGTCAAAATTAATCATTTACCTTTAACTATTTTTAAACACCCAAAACATCTAAAAGGGCACTTTTTTTTTTTTTGACATGTCTGTCAAACATCATCAAACTCAGTGTGGTTGTGAATGGGGAGATGTTCCCAGCAGCTGCAGCTGCCTGTGTCAGCAGGAGAGCCCTGACTAGGATGGCTGTGGGGGACCAAACTGGGAACAAAAAGGCTTCCGTCCATCCATCCATCCATCCATCCATCCATCCATCCATCCATCCATCCATCCATCCAAGTGCAGGGTTCTGCTTTGGGCAAGCAGCATTTCCCCACCTCATCACCAGAGTGATGTGATTGCCAGGGTAGGTTTTTTTTTTTCCTATTCAGGCAACAGTTCTGGTGCCTTCTGCTTGTGTTTGTTTTTGGGAAAGGGGCTGAAATGAACCCCAGTGGGGACTGAGGGGGTTTGCAGCAGGAGAGCACAGTTGATGCACTCATTGGTATAAGCAGGAACTGGTTTTGTCTGACATTGTATTGTTTATTTTGAGCAGGTTCTAGGAACAGTTTGCAGCTCTTTCCCCATCTCTTGATGGGCCTACACAGTAAATTATCTGTAGTCATTAGCAAGTGGGCTGCTTCCTCCTTCAGGCACAATTAGTGGGCAGGGTCCGGAAAAATCTTCCTCAATCTCATTTCCTTCACAGGATGCACTGGAGAGCCTGGCGCTGGAGGCAGGGCACAGCGACCTTCCCTGTTCCTCAGGGTAGGAGCATCCTCCTTCCCTCCTTCCCTCCAATGGTCCCCAGGGACTGCCAGGGGTGGGCAAGGTGAAACCTCAGCCTTCAGGTCAGTGAGGCTGAACCAGCAGCAGGAACATCAGAGGCTCGGGGACAGCTGATTTAGAGTTTCTTCTTAGTCAACGCAGAGCTTGCCCTGCCTGTGAGCCCCATCCTTACGCGGTGCACAGTCACGGGTGATTCAGGGAGTCACAAATGCTGTAAGCAATGAAGAGCAGCCCCCTGTCCCCGGCCTCTGCCATGAGCAGGGCACCTGGCTGTGGTTCAGCAGCTCCCTGGAGCACAGCCCACTGCCAGGGAGTGATGCCATCGTTGGTGGCTGTGCCACAGCCCCCGAAGTCCCGAGCAGAGCTGGTTGTGCCCATCGCCTCCTCTGGGCCCGTGCTGCCAGGTGGGAGAAGGCCTTGGTGGAGCAGCAGCTCTCCAGAGGGCTGAAGGGCCAAGTGAGCGGGAGCTTTGGATTTACACTCGGGAAAACTGGAATAAATCAAAGCAATTAAAGTGCAAATGAAGCTTTAAGCAATGCAGCATCCTAATTACCTGGGAAGCGCATTGTGTATACTTCTGTCTCACTCCCTTTTTTAAAATAGACAGGATCCAAATTACATAAATAATTTAAATTAATTTGCCAGGTAGAGCTGGGCTTTGGGAAGCGCCTGCTGGCATTAATGACGATGTTTTGCTGGTGGCTCCACGAGCCCCCCAGGCTGTCTGCAGCTGCGGCTCCCCGGGCTGGGAGATGCGGTTTGGTGCGCGGATCCTGCATCCGCGGCTGCTGTGCCGCGAGGGGCTGCGCAGGGGCAGCAGAGGAGGGCTCCGTGATGGGCGGCCGGAAAGGGCAGAGCCAGCGGTAATTAATCACCGCAATTAGCCGCTGGCATCGCAGGCAAAAGCAGAGTTTGGTTTTCTTCCAGACTGCCTGGGCTGTTGGTGGAGCAAGGCTGTGAACGCATGTCCTTGGGTGACCACGAGTGTTTATAGCGTCTGGGAGAGCCGGGAAAAAGAGGTGCAAGACCAAGAAGTAACTTCTCAGACAGAGCAGAGGCACCAGAGGAATAGGGCAGGGGCTGGCTGCACCAATGCTGCTCCTTTCCCTCGGTGCCAGATGAAATAAATGGGCAGGAGATCTTTCTCCTTTTTAATGCCTTTATTAAGAAGAATCAGCTCAGGTGGGGAGAAGCCGACAGGTCGCACCCACGCCGCCGCTGCTCCCAGGCGTGGCACGGAGGAGGAGGATGATGCAGCTTTGTCCGCTGGTCTGCAGGCAGAGCTGGGGATTCCGTCCTCACGGGAGAGTCACAGATTCCTCGCTTTTTGTCTAACACCCCGGGGTGTCTCTTTAATCAGTATCTTTTCAGGTTAGGGTGAGAAGCAAAAAGGGTCTAAGCAGGTACGGGACTACGCTCCCATCCTTAGACGTCACTTAGGTCACTTGTTGGCTCGTGATTTTAGGGGTTTTTCTTGTAAAAACTGTAAAAATTCGGGGCGCAATGCATTTCTCATCTGCATACTGGCTCTGATGTCACTGCTATTCTCTTTACCTTGGAGGGTCTTCTTGGCAAGTGGCCAGCATCAGGGAAACAATAGTTAATCACCAGCCATTAACGGGTAATTGAGGAGCTTTTCTTTGGCAGCTAAACCAAAGAGGTCTGACTGGTCTGACTTGTTTTTAACTCTGAAACTCAAAAAAATACAACTTTCTATTCATAACACCAGAGGAAGCAGGGCAGCGGTGAGAGTGCAAACCCTGCCCTCCAGCCGGCTTTGGACCCATCTGCAGGACCCCTGAGTCTCTCCAGGAAGTCAGCAGCCCCCTCCATTCCCACTGAAGCCTCTCCCATCCTGCAGGGAAGCTGGGAAAGGGCAGGCTGGGCTGGGAAATGGGGTGTCCCCAGGCACACCCTAGAGATGGAGAGGGGACGGGGTGCTGCTCCCCATTCCCATTCCCTGCTGCTGGCCTTCACTGGTGGGGCTGGATGCTGGCCTTGGGCTCTGCCTTGTCAGCTGGTGACACACTGAGTGTCACTGAGGTCATTTGCTCACTCCAGTGTAATGGAGCTGTTTGAGTAGGGCAGAAGTAGAGGAGAATAAGCAATTAGGGATAGAATTTTGTCCTGGTAAGAAGGCCTGTAGTTGCCAAAACTGAAGCATTGTTTCATCACCTGCTTGTGGGAGTCCTGGCATCAAGAGGGATGCCAAAGCTGTTAAATCCCTCCTCTAGGATGCTGCCAGCCTGGCTCACTGACATCTATGGCACTCCAAACTCATTGTGTTCAGGTGGGCTGCCTTTTATTTACAAGAATTCCTGCAGGAAGGAAGTTTTGTGACTACTTGTCTAAACAAATATTTGCCTCAGATGTGCTCTTGTGGCTGTCTGGCATGGTTATTGTCTTGTTTACTCAGCACAGTTCTCAGGCAGTTTCTGAATGTACTGTCCAATGCAGCCATTTAAAAGTTCCCAAGTAATGTTTTTTTAAAATGACCTGCTTTTCTCCAATACTTCTCCCAGGAGAGTTTTATGTGCCCCCTCCCTGACAGGCTGGTCAGGCATCACTCACATGGGCAAGCTCTGCTCCATGGATCTGCAAAGGACTCCGTATTTCCATACAGCACCAGGGCTGCGAGGGGTGGGGAAACACCAGCTCTTGGAAAATCAGGAGAAGAGCTCACACTGCAGCAAGTGCTTGGAAACAATTTGGAAAAGGCAGGAGAGGTGCTCACCCTGGGCAGTGCGTGATTTGACCGGGGAGGAAGCAGCCCCCGAGCCCTGTGACTCAGTCCCTTCCTCCCCTAGGAAAGGTCACCACCACAAATGTTTGTCAAACCCAGCCCGGGCTGCCCTGAGCCCTTCAGGAGCAGACACGGGGGAAGCATCTGCCATTTGAGCCTGTTTTTTATTTGCTGAAAACGATCTGCTCAGCAGCGGTGGTTAAAGACCTGTTAGCCACTGCTGTAAATGCTGCGAATTAACACCTTTCGGTGCCCTGGGTGTTTACCAGGAGGCAGGAAAGGGCTTTCTGTCTGTTTTCATGTAGGCATAAGGAGAGAGCTGTGCCTTCCCCCAGCTCCCCAGACACAGGGCACAGGGGCAGGATTTACAAGCAAGCTGCTTCTGAACCTTACCGTGCTGTGATGCAACCCAGTGCCCTTTAAATAACTGCTGTCTTTTGAAGGCATAAATACTTACAGGGTGAGAGGAAAAAAAAGCCACCATTCCCTCCTGAAAGACCTAATTTATCGGGAATTATCTATCCTTGGCTATAAATCCTCTGTAAAACTTGGCATGAGTTTTGAGGCAGTTACAGCAGTGACCGTATATTTTTATCCGAAACCTCGAGAAAGAACAAATTGAAGCCCCAAACAGCAGCTCTGAGTTGTTGCAGAGCCACACTGATGAGTGGGGCTGCAGGGACTGCCTTGCCTGGGAAGTGCCATGCAGCATTTCTCATTAATTCCCACATCCTTTTGGTTTATTTCTGAGCAATTCCTGCTTGAGAAATTATTTTAACGTGCCAGTTTTCCTTCCTGGCAGCAGACTCAGAAGAGCATCCCGGGGGTCTTGGCTGGAGCAGCAGCCTTAAGTCCCTTGCTAACGTTTGCTGAGCACCACATCCTTCGTAAACCAGGGCACAGGTACACGCATCCCTGCTGTCCACCTACTCAGGCACAAGGCAGGGCTGGCTCTGACTCATCTGGCTTCCCACTTTCTCTTCTTTGTTCTTCTTGTCTCCCTGAAGCAGGAGAGAATCCAGCTTTTATTTAAATGAGGCCCTATAAACATAAGCAGCAGCAAAGTAGGGCAGGTTTTTAATGGCTTACACCTCCTTGGGCTTGGCTTCTTCCCTTCAGCCTCTGTAGCTGTGATTGTGGTCTGTCTCCACGTGAGCAGCTCAATGACATTTTTGCATGCACTGGGACCTACCTGTTCATTTCTGGGAGTGCATTCCCTGCACAGAAAACATTAACAAATTAATGGGGCAAGGACAGCATGACGAGGAGGAGCTCTGTCCACAAGCAGCTGAACTGGTCCAGAAAGCTGCTGGGACATCACGACACCCTGGGGACAGCTTTGGCCTGTCCCCCATGTGCCAGCCCTGACCTCACCCGCTGGAGGAGGGATGTGCCCCCCACCCTGAGAGCTGCTCAGTAACTGGTAGAATCCCAGTAGTTAAGCAGAACTGTCTAGGCTGGGACCTCTGCAGTATTTTGTGGGTCTGTGTCCCTGCTGGAGCAGGGACACCTGGAGCTGGGAATGCTGTGAACCTGTGTGTCCCCACCAGGTTTGTGTCGGTGCTGCTGGAACAGCAGAAGCGCAGAGGGTTGTGAAGTAAGCTGAGTTCTGGACAGGCAGGGCCCATGGAAGGGCAGCAGGCTGCGTTTCCCTGCAGGACAGCCCGTTGCTGTGTTTGTGCTCAGAGGAAAGCTGTCCTGCACCCTCACACACAGGCCCAGTGTGTGGTGGGTGCCCCAGTGGTGGGATGGTGCCTCGTGGGAGCCCGGCTCACTCCGTGGTGTGCTGGAGCTGTGGGGGTTGTCACTGCCACCATTCCACGGTCAGCTCACAGAGGGACCCTAACGCTTGCTCTTTGCTATCTTTTGCAGGAATGGAGGGATGCAGGTACAGCTGGGAGCAGCAGGACACCAGCACAGCCCTGTGGGGATAGGTGTGAAAGTGATTCCCTGTGAGGACACAGCAGGAGTACCCCAGAGGAACGTGGGATCTCACTGGGAACAGGGAGAGCTCCCCTTCTGCCCAGTTGCTTGCCGTGTTTCCGGGGATCTATACCAGGATTTGGGCTTGGAGCCTGGAGGCGTCTTAGTGCTATAGGATTGCTGGAGAGCCTGACAGCGATGGGGGACCCAGCACCGAGGAGGGACATTCCTCCGGAAGGCCCTGCACACCCGTGAGCCCTGGCTGCTGGTGGCGGAGGGTGCCTGGGGCTGGGCTGCTCAGCCAGCCCTGGGCTGGGGGCAGAGCCGCGGTGCCTGCAGGGCACAGCCCCTGAGGGGCGAAGGGCTGGCGTGGGGTCTGCAGGGGCAGCCCCAAGCCCTGGGACAGTGGGGCTGCCAGCCGAGCCACTGCTCCTCCAGGCACCCCTTCCTGGGGTGGCAGCGGGGGACAGAGCGGCGCTCGGTGCCTGGGCCGGGCGCGGATGTGCCCCCACGCAGCGCCGGCGGGACCGCTCCCCTAGTGCCGGCGCCGAGGGACGCAGGGCCGCCCGCCTCACCATGGTGCTGCCGCCGCCCGACAAGCGCCACGTCTGCCTGACCACCATCGTCATCATGACCAGCATGGCCTTCATGGACGCCTACCTGGTGGAGCAGAACCAGGGGCCCCGCAAGATCGGCGTCTGCATCATCGTGCTGGTGGGGGACATCTGCTTCCTCATCGTGCTGCGCTACGTGGCCGTGTGGGTGGGCGCCGAGGTGAAGACGGCCAAGCGGGGCTACGCCATGATCCTGTGGTTCCTCTACATCTTCGTGCTGGAGATCAAGCTGTATTTCATCTTTCAGAATTACAAAGCAGACAAGAAGAACCTGGAGACGGTGGCCAGGAAAGCTCTGACCCTTCTGCTCTCCATCTGTGTGCCGGGGCTCTACCTGGTGCTGGTGGCCTTGGACAGCATGGAGTACATACGGACCTTTCGGAAGAAAGAGGACTTGCGGGGACGCCTCTTCTGGGTGGCCCTCGACCTGCTGGATATCTTGGACATCCAGGCCAACCTGTGGGAGCCACACAGGACCGGCCTGCCCATCTGGGCAGAGGGGCTCATGTTCTTCTACTGCTACATACTCCTCCTAATCCTGCCTTGCGTGTCCCTCAGTGAGATCAGTATGCAAGGGGAGCACATTGCCCCGCAAAAAATGATGCTCTATCCCGTCCTCAGCCTGGTCACCATCAACATCGTCACCATCTTCATCCGGGCCATCAACATGATCTTGTTCCAGGACAGCAGGGTCTCCACCATCTTTATCGGCAAGAACATCATCGCGATCGCCACCAAGGCGTGCACCTTCCTGGAGTACAAGCGGCAGGTGAAGGAGTTCCCGCAGAACGCCATCGCCCTGGAGCTCCAGCAGAACTCCCTCTCGCACAACCAGACCATCCACAGCGCACAGGGCATCCCCCACGAGCCGTCGCCCACCAGCGAGATCCTGGACACATGAGGGGTCCCCAGCCCAGCGTCGGTTCAGATGGCCCCGTGCTGAGTGGAGGAGGGATGATGCTGCTTTCCTGCTGCCCGGTGCAAGCACGACAGACAAATCCCGGCAGTGAGGGCTCTTCTAGGCACAAAAACACCAACAGCGTTCTAATTGAGCTATGGAGTGTCCTCTAGACGTCTTCATCTCAGGTACAACCCTAGGAGTCCTCCAGACAAACCAAATGGACTTGCAAAGGACCTGAACCAGCTGACCCTCTCTCCCCTTCCTGCCACCATCTCCCCTCCCGAGCAAAGACTGCTAAGGTTGCAATGTCCCTTTTTACTCCCTGAGCACCTCACCTTTACTCCAAGCCTGGATCGAAGATTTTGTTACTGGAGACCTTTATACAGAGTGGGGACAAGGGCAAAGGGGTGCGGATTGGGGGGAGGGCGGGGCGTTTGAAGCAGTAAACCCTGTGATCGTAGATGTCTCTTATCTCCAATGGTTGTGTTTACAGTTTCCTATTTATATCGGCTCCGGGGGCTCTCAGGCTGCCCTGTGGGCCAGTGTCCTCGAGGTGGGCGAGAGCAGGGAGCCCTGCAGTGGGGAGGGGGCCGGGGCTGGCGTGGCTGCCCTGGCCCCGGTGAGGAGGTCTGAGCCTCCACCAGCGCCCCGCACCAACTCTGCCGGGAGCAATATCTATGAGCTAGAGCTAATCTGATGCTGGTGTTTTATGTATTTCATTCACTCCAAACGACTCAGCACAATATTTCTATTTTTAGAAGGGTCCCTCTTTCTCTCTCTCCCTGCCATCGAGAGCCTCCCTGCCTGCAGCAGCCAAGCAGCCTCCCCAGCCCCTGGCACTGCTGCTGGCAGGCAGGGGCACCCAGGAGGGATTAGGAGCAAGGATGGCGAGGATGCATTTCACTCTGGCATCAAGCATTTATAAAGAGGGCTGCTTTCCACAGCTACTATATTTTTAAAATAAATATTAAAAAAGGAAAAAAAAATAAAACCGAAACAAAAAAACCCACCAAACCCCAAAAAAAGAGCCGGGACGAATGTGCTGCCCCAGGCAGGTGGCTGGGCCTGGGGAGGAGCTGGGCTGGGGTCTCCTCTGCAGGTGTGGGTGGTGCTGAGGGGCTCAGCCATGGGCAGCAGGGTGGGAGGCGAGGGCCAGCCGGACAATAAAAGCCCCATGAGAGCAATGGCTTCTGGTGGTCTCTTTTCTGCCAGCGTGTGGAGGGTGTGGCTCAGCTCTCATACAGCCCAAATCGCTTGTCTCTGCTTCTGTCCTCCCTGGACTCCCAAGTGCCATCCCCGGGTTCTGTGCCCTGCACTCACTGAGCAGTGGGCCCAGAAAGGAAAGAAATAATTTCTCCTGCTGCAATGCTGCCCCAGGGCTGGGTGCGTCTCAGCTGCCTGACCCTGGGGGAGGCACAAGGACACAAGCAGAAAACCTGCATCTCAGACATACTGAAATAGGATATTTTTGCTTTTTCTAAACAAAATGTTGCATTTTGAGGAGATGGAATAAAATGCTTGGTGCTGTTTACATTTCTCTTCCACATTTTCCCCTGGCTCTGCTTACTGAATTTGACCTAAATCCACAAATCATTTCAGTTTCCATCTTCTCAGCCCATCACAATCTGTCCAAAACATTTCAACCTTCCCTGATCCAGACTTCCAATTTTAGGACCAGGCAATTGCAGTCTTGCTTGGCCACCCTGTCACCCAGGGATAACTCTAATGTTAATTAAATCCACAGAGAAATACAACAATATCTTTGCCAACAAAAGTGAGTTTGCAACAGATTTAGCCAAGTGGAAAAGTTTCTTCCCCCTTTCCCTCAGGAAACATGAGAGGAAGTGGGCAGGTGCTTTAAAAGGTATTAGCAGAAATTAATTAAATTGCTAAATTATTCTGGAATACCTGTGGAATTACATATTACATCTCTGCTGGTTCTTTTAAAATACGTGTGATTAGCATCAGTGCAATTAACTCCCAAGTATCTAATAACATTCTGCTGCTCTTTTAGGTAATTAATTTATGAGCCTTTGTTTTATAGTTCTTCCCCAGAAGTGAGCAGAGCAGAACCTTCAGGGAAACCTCTGGCATGGTGCTGTGGGCTGGAGGCTGGGATTGCCAGCTGAGGCGGTGCCTGGCATCAGACTGAACCTTGACGCAGAGATCTTTGATCCTGGGGATAAAATCAGTGATCTGGTGCGTTACTCTGAGGGGTTGGATGTATTTTTGTTCTGTTTCACCCCGATAGCTAGCCCTGCATCCTTGCCTTATACATTAATATTCCCTTGAGCCTGAGCTGTTGCTAAGGTTTCTTGGAGGTGTCTGGCTGTGCTCCCTGAAGGCAGGCTGCATGGGAAGGGAATATTGCTTTATCCTCCTGGTTCCATAACTTCCAAGAAGGTCTAGGAGTCCTCACAGGTTCTTCTTGAGGTTGCAAGACCCTGCTTTTTACTGCTGATGTGAGGTTTTTGTCTTTGTGGAGCGGGGTGTCCCTGTGGAAGGGCTGCATTAGGAGCAGGAACAGAGGTCCTGGAGGTGATGCTCACTTGGGATGCTCCACATCATTCCCAAAAAGCCACAGGTGCTCGAAGCCCACTCTGGTGAAGGGAGAGAGAAGAGGCTTTTCTCATCTTGTGTTGTTCATCATCCCCAGGGCTCCGTGTGCATGGCGTTCTGCCTCAGCAGCACAGCCCTTCCTCTTCAAAGCCACCTTGAAGTGGGGATGATGAGCTGGCCCCTCCTCAGCAGCTGCCCAGGAAGGCTGGGGGGCAGGGAGGGCTGAGCTGGGAAAGGCAGAGGGGCAGAGCAGCCAGCAGAGCCCTGGGGGCATGGCCAGAGCCCAGCAATGGCAGCACTGCAGCTTTTCTGCCTGCTGAGGGTGATGCCCCTTCCCCAAAATCCAGCCCTGCCAGCACAGACAAGACTCTCGGGAGCCACGGAACCAGCAGGAGGGTTAGCAGAGTGGCTGGGCAGGGTGGCTGGCTCCCAGCCTGGCTGGTTGTTGGGGGAAGGTGATATTTTGCTGTGGGCAATGAGAGCTAAAGGAAACAATTAAAACTAAATAGGCTGGAACCGAGCAATTTTTCAGCTTTCTGCTGAGAAGGAAAAAAGCTCCTTTGTGAACAGTGAAATCCTTCTGGCAAGCTGTAGGATCCCACCTGATGAAGCCAAAACTGCACAATCACAATGCAGAAGGGATCCCTGTGCTCCAGTGGAACCCACGGGGGTGGTGTCCCTTGCTGCCATCAGAGCCAGGCCACGAGCACAGGGCAGCCATGCCCTTGGCAGGGGAGCCTGGTGGTGCTCTGGGGACAAGGCTGGTGCTGTCCTACCTATTGCCAACCCACTGGCCAGTGCAGAGGCTACTCCTCCTTCCAAGTGACAACGCCTGGAGGAGCCAGCTCCACCCTGTAGCTTGCAGGGCACATCAGAGTCATGGCCACCTCTGGAGATGCAAAACCTGAGCCTCCCGAGCCTTTCTGTCAGGCTGGTGCCAAGGGTCAGCGAACTGGCCAGTCCTGCACAGGCACAGAGGAGCTGATATTGCCTGCTGGCCAGTGCCAAAGGGCTGGGCTGTACTCACCCATGTCCCAGGCATTGTGGCACTGCAAAACAGGGGCTCCCAAAGCCATGCAGGCTGTCAGAGTGCATCCAGCCCGGCCAAGCCCACCTGGCTCCTGTCCTGCTGTGCAAAATTTGGGCAAAGGGGCAGCAAAGGGCTGGAACTGTTGCATGCCTGACACTGGAAAGAGCCCAGACCCAGCTCCTGTGCCCCAACAGCCTCGTGGTACCTGCAGTACCTCCTCTCTGCTTGGGCTGAGCACAGTGTTTTACCCTCCTGGAGCTCACATGCAGCCCAAGGCAGCCCAAGCCTCTTGCTGCTGCACTCAGCTGTGTGCTGGGGGGGTGCTGAGCTTGCAGCTTTTCTTTCCCAAGGTCCTGGCAGCTCTCACATGTCCTGCTTGTTCTCACCTCCTTTTGGCAGGTGAAAATCTCTGGTGCTGCAGCCTCGGTGTAAGGCTGGAGGAGGGTTCAGTGACTGAGCTGAAAGTGCCCCACGGTTCTGCCGCCAGATTCTTCTTGTGAGCAGGGCTCTGGTGACTTTGCAGGGCCCAAAAGGCTTGGGAGGATTTGGGAGAAGGAATCCACCCACCAGAGCCATGCAGCACGAGGATGGACTCTTTGCAGTGCCACCTGGTGCAGCTCCATGCACTGTCATCTGGAACCATACGTAAATAAGGAATGATTTTTCCCTTTGGATCAGTCTGGGTTAATTTGATGAGCAGAGGCAGACTGAACTTTCATGCCAATAACTGTTTTCTTCCTGTCTGCCCCAGATTTGCTTCACTTTTTAAGCTCAGGCCAATGCTGCTATAGAAAACACAGGGCAGGTGTCAAGAGCACCTTGACAGCAATTCCCATCCTCCTAAATTCCTCCTGCCCAGGAACTGTGGCAAAAGTTTGAGTTTCACACCAATTTAATCCTAATTGAATGCCCTGAATTCTTCAGTTGTCTCTGGTTTTTAGGTCTGGCATCCTTGAAGAACAATATCCATTTAAATTGCTGATTTGGGCTTGCTCATTTAATTTCATCTTAATAAAGATTTTATGTGGTTTTGACATATTCAGTGTCTCGAGTGTATTGACAGGGCAGCCTGAAGAAGCATTATGACCATAATGGCTCAAAAAGCATTAAAAAGACCCTGGCAAGGTTTATTGATTGCCCTCTTTTACGGCTGCTTGAAGACAAAGACCAGTCGTATGGAAGAGGGAATGCTGTGTTTTGTTTTTATGTGAGCTTCTAGATGTTACAACAAAAGGCATTTGCAAACAAGTGTCTGCAAGTTCTTCACCAGGACATGGAGAAGTCATGTTGCTGGGATGTTGTTAGGAGGACGATTTTAGAGGAAAAATCCTGCAGATAGCAGAAAAGTCATCTCCAAGGAAGGGATGTCAAGGTGTAAATAAATAAGTAAGTGATGAAGATGCTCAGGTCCTCCCCACTGGTGCATCCCAGAGGAAAAGCCCTCATGCCTCATTGGGGACTTGCTGTAGCATGTTGATGGAAAGGATAAATCATCTGCCAAAATCTGTCCTCAGAGCTGTGGATTTCCACATGGGCTCTTCCCAGCTAATGTACCCCAATATCTGTGTGAAAACACAAATGCAGTGTGGGAATTTTATGCTGAGTGCAACAGAGATAAAAATTAGTAGAATGATCCGTTGGCAAGGTAGGAATGAGCTCAAGACGGGAGAGCAGAATAATTATCTCCTCATGGCCCACATTTGCATACTGAGATGGACCCAAGAGGCCCTTGCACAGCCACCTGCCCAATTGCTGATGGGAGGATTTTTTTTTTAAAGACAGTTTACTGATTGCAACCCATTTCCTCCAGCCCAGGCAGGGGTGCCTTCTGTTCAAGGGAGCTGTGCACCGAGGAAGAAAACCAGCAGCAGCTCTGCCTGCGGTGCCAGGAGATGTGGTGCCAGGAGATGTGCTGCTGGGTGGTGCCAGGACAGGGCTGCTGGGTGGTGCCAGGCTGGCTCTGCCCTCTGAGCAGCCCAGTGTGCAGGTGCAAGAGCCAGAACTTGGCTTCTTGGCTTCACAGGGAAGGAGCAAGAAGCTTCCTGGTGTCCCAAGAAGCAAATGAACCAAACTCATCCAGTGGTGACAGCACAGACTGAGGTCCAAGGAAGGACCTTCCTTCTCCACCCTTGAAGAGATATTGCTACCACATCAAATCAATTTCATGCCATAAGCCAGCAGATACGAGGTCTGCAGGGTTCTGCAGCCACAAATACATTTTCTAGTGCCTTTCCATGGCCGTAGGTGAGTGATCACCTTGCTCTCCAGAGCTCTCCTGCTTCTTCAAATCTGCACTGAAATAGCAGCTCATCACTTACAGGGCTGAGGATGCTGAGAACCAGAGCACAGCACCCTGTGCATGCCAGACACATCCTGCTGCACCCCAGGTGGGCCAGGCCAGCAGGCAGCTAAAACCCCAGCATCCCAGCTCCCAGGGCTGCTCACATGGAGCTGGCTCTGCCCAGCAGAATAAGTATCTCAAGCAGAAAAAGGCACTGTTTCCCTTTCCTGTGCTGGTGCCAGGGAGAACTTAGTATTCAAAAACTGTTTTCGGATGTTTCACTTCACAGCTGGTGAATGAACTCAGAGAACTCA